TACACAAAACGGCATGTTTTTAAGTCGGTCTACCATGCAAAACTTCTAAAAATAATATAATATTACTTCCGTCGCGCGGCAAAAGTTGGATTGAATTCAACTTTTGTCGCGCGATTGAAATTATATATTTATTATTTCCGAGCAAGCGAGTTGATTGGCTATTGCGTCAATTTCCGCCGCGCGACAAGCGTTGCCGCGTTCTATGTGCAGCAGTCATATGTCATTGGTCGAGATTTTCATTTTACTCCGGAAAAATCGTTTATTTTCCCAATTTCTAGGAAATCCGATTCATCGCGGCAACAGCAGATGACACGACAGTCGGCGGCGCGCATGACCAATTATTGTAGTATTGTTCGATTTGACTCTCAACCCTGGGAACTGCACGGGATCGCTCCGAATGAACTTAGCGTATTTGAAATGTAAGATTCACATTACATCCATCATCGTTACAATAAACGTCGTATGACGGATGTCGTACGTACATAGTGTAATTACTGCCTTAAGGCTGCTGCACACAAAATTCCGCAACAGTGACCGTAAGACGTGAACTCAAACCGATTAACCAATCAGGATATTATTTTAGGTCTACGTTATCTAATAGAAATGGAAATAACAGTAAACTTATCCATAACCTCACAATTAGATGAATTTCAACCAGGTAAAACTTATGAACAAGTTTATTTTTATTTTCATTAGAGTATCCAATGACAGTACACCTTTAGAATGAGAATATCGGTGAAATTGTACACTTATTGAATATCGCTTGTCGCGCGCGACTAACATCGCGCTGATGTGCCGAAGCCATTAAGGTGCCATCCCATAACACGTATACGCGTATTCGTGTATCAAAGGATTCGATCAATCGCAGAATTCACACTAGATCCAACGTGCGTCGTACGACACTGCAACCAATTTATTTTGTATCGATGATACGAAGCAAAACCCTGTTTTTTGATAAGAAAAAGCGCCACTCATTGGCTATCGCTAGTTAACGATTACGATAATTATCGATAAAATGTTTAGAGAATCCCGCTACGTCCCTTATTCTCGAAAAGTATCACAAAAAAGGGAAATACCATAGTGTAACATATACTATAGTATTTTCCTGATTTTACGTATGCGATACTTTTAGATAATAGGGGCCCAGTGATACTCATTTTTTGAAATACATTAATAGGTCTGTTCGCGTTGCTCGCACTTTTTGCACTCAACATATTTTAAATGCAAAAATATTTGGGAATTTTATGCAACGCAAACAGACCTATTAATGCATTTCAAAAAATTCCCTAATCTAATCGGATTCTGATGCCTTGAGAGTGCTGTCCCATGTACGAGTGACGTCCCACGGAATGAATTGTTATTAGAAAATTGAGTTCGTTACAATTCTTTTCTGTAAGAAATTTCTCTACCCATCCCATGTAGCCAAGGGCTCTATTCTTGAAAAATATAAAAAACTAGGGATATGCTATAATATACGTTACAAATACTATAGTACATCCCTTTTTCGTTTGGGATACTTTTCAGGAATAGAAGCTCAGAACAGAAACAGACGGAATGTCGCCTCGGTTGCAAGCTACCCAGACAGCACACAATGGATTCAATCCATTGGATTGTATGAGTAGCTTGCAACTGAGGCGACGTTCCGTCCAGATCTGGTATTTATTTAGTCCGGACGTTCATAGACTTAGTACGAATGTTTTAAAAACGTACGTTATTCAACGTATGTTCACATTTGGACATTTAAAAAATGGTTATCTTATGCAAAAAATTTTCTAAATTTGCTCGCAACGTGTTACTTTCGCTGACTTGACAAGTGAAAATTTTTTCAAAATCACACGAGAAATTTCAATTTTGTATGTACGGATGTCTTTTGAACGTCCCATGAACGTCCCTAGGACATCTGTGCTGTGTTGAAAATTTTCAACGACAAAAAATCTACCTAGATAACCAAGCGTGCGATATCCCACGACACCCTCATAAAATACCACTACCATACTGTTACTATACATGATAACTGGTACTATGAAAGTACAGCGTATGATTTCCTAATTTAAAAATAGTCGTTATAACATTAAGATTAAATATTAGATTAACTGACTGGATATTCAGTTGAACTGCATAAATCTCAAGACTATATTGAACAGCTATATCATAACAATATATCCATGGTTATATAGATTCATGTGATTTCAGAAGTCAAGCATAATGGCGGTATGCAACCCGATAGGTGACCGTTTTAAAGCATTATGAAATTAGTTCCTGAATTTAGAGAAAAAGGTTTTTGATTTCTGATAGGTTGAAATTTTTATTCTCTGTTATCTGTTTCTTTTATTGTGTGGAGCCCCTAAAGCTTTAACAGTTTTCTGTATAATCTAATAATATATATCGCAGACAGTAACGTTTCCCTATTCCTTTTATTGTGCGGAGCCCCTTATTTAGATTAATTAAAAATATTATTTGTATCGTTTTTTTATTAATTTATACTAGATATTGCAATAGCAATGTATTTATATTTTATATATACATATGACTCCTGCACATAGAAACTCCTTGCCATGCGACGAAAGTTGGCGCGATCAACGTCTCGCTTATTCGGAAGTAATAGATATATAATTTCGATCGCGCGACAAAAGTTGAACTCAATCCAACTTTCGCCTCGCGGCGAAAGTAGTATTACATCATTTCTAGAAATTTTGCAAAGTGGGATCGATTTGAGAATATTAATTAATTGAGAATATTAATCGGATGATAGCTCAAAGTCCCTCCAACGTTTGAGGTATTCTGCACAAGTAGTGGTATTCTTGGGACCCTCGTGAGCTCCGTCCCGAATCACGTCATACGTATCGTTGGCTTTGACCTTAGCTATTCGATAAGGTCCTAGATATTTGGGCTTTAACTTGAGTCCAGGACCCAACTGCGTCCGTTTTACGGCAACTAAGTCGCCAACTCGGTGTTGAGTAGCTTTACGTCTATGTTTGTTAAAGTTTCTTCGATTTTCGTCTTGTAGTTTAGAGATTTGTTCTATAGCCTCCTTACGTATAGTATCTCTTTCTGCATCGAATTGATCTACGACTTCATTTTGTAATAGTTCAGTTATCTTGAGATCCGTCTTGTCACGCATCCGTGCTCCGGTTAAAAGTTCGAATGGGGTTCGTTTAATGCTTCGTTGATAGGTAGAGTTGATAGCTCTCTGGACTGCTGCTACATGCTGATACCACTTTGTAGGATTGTCTGTAGATAACTTGGCTAAAACGTTTACTATAATTGCGTTAACCCTTTCTACCTGTCCGTTTGCTCGGGGTAGACCCGTGGTGATGAATTTTAATTCAATATTCTCGGAAATGCAATAGTCCTTGAACTCCTGCGACGTAAAAGCGGTTCCGCGGTCAGCAACAATCTGTGACGGATTGCCGAATGTCGTTTTCTGTAGTTCCAACTTGTTGATTACTTCCCGGCTGGTGGTCGACTTAACAGGATATACCCAGACAAATTTAGTAAAGCTGTCTACCACCACAAAGAGATGGTTATATCCCTTGTGCGTTGATTCCATAGGACCCACATGATCAACTTGATACGTCTGAAAAGGTAAGCTTCCTTTGAAGATCGGATGTAACAAACCTTCTTTTCTTCCGGCCTTCTTATTGTTGATTATGCACTTAATGCAGTTCTCGATAACTCGTATAATCTTAGCGTTGAGATTCGATATGTAGTAGTCTTGCCGTATTATCTCTTCCGTCTTCTTCACAGAGAAATGTCCTCTTTCATGGCTATTCCTGATGATTTCAGTTTGCATTCCCTTTGGCACTACCAATAGGTCATTTCCTTTACTGAATTTAAACAAAATTCCGTCAATAATAGTATAATCTTCATAAGGCTTCTCTTTCAACACTTCAATGATAGCTTTAATCTTCTCGTCGTCTAATTGAGCACGTTTAA